CAGCCCAAGCTCCTGAAGTCGGCCACTCAATTCTTAGGATCCTTCTTTCCAGTATTTCAGGCTTCTGCTCACAATGGCCATTTCTGTCTTCGACTGTGCACAAATCCATCTTGTCAAATCTTTCAAAACCTTCATCTTCTACACAGGTCTGATTTTTCCACTTCACTTATGTCTTCAAGATCTTACCCACCCCGACTCTTTGTACTGCTCGGTTTCTAACAGCATCGCTGTGAAAAGCGCGCGGAGCAGGGTGCCGATCAGTCTTCTTTTATGACCTTCTGAAGTATTTCCTCATTTCATTTTCCAGCACATTTTGGCTTCATTTGATGCAATTTATGGGTTCATAAGGCTTCTCCTCCTATTTATACTCATGAAACAAATCTATTATTCCTGTTGCCGTTGACTAGGGAATCTACTGGTTCTGTTTGGATGACTTATTCTTCCTTTGCATCCTTCAAAACTACACATTCCAAGAGTTTCCAATCGTGGTACCCATTAAGTATCATTCCTTCTGATCAATATCCACTGTATAATTTCCTGCCATTGACATCCTCGTTTCTAGGTCACACTCATCTAGCTTAGCTCAGCATCCTTCCTTATGTTAAACAAAACCCAATGAATTCATGATTCAAGGTCAGAAATGCTTTGTTTCCTTCATTATTCTTTTGGCAAGCATGGAAAAATATTTAAAGCTTTTGTCTAAAACATTAGGCTTGTGGTCTTAGCAAAATGGTACATCTTGTTAGTATTTAGTTATCTCAAACATAGAGTTCTTATCTCAGACATAAAGTTGATATTTCACCAACTATTCAACTGAATGCAAGAATGCCAGTTTTTATTTTTTTTACTGGCTTACAATGTGCTATGCACACAGAACTTGTCAACTAATTTGCTCAATGGCCTAATGTTAACTATTAAAGAAGTAATGTGTGCACCATGTCACAAAAGGAGACTTTTTTATCTTAATAAAGTCCCTATAAACAAATGAACAAAAAGACTTTTAAATGGATTTCTTGGGAGGTTATAGGAGGCACTGTAATATTGATTACACAGGGCTTTCAGCTTTAAAACAGGTTGCCAGGGGTCAAATCCTTGTTATCCCACCTCGTGAAACTTTGGGAAAGTTAACTGACATCCTTGCATGCTAATATCTCTCCATAAAACCAGGGGAGACAACAGGAACTGCTTCATGGAGCTATTATGCAATCAAGGGAGTTATGTCACATACTGCAAACAGTTCTGGTATGTAGAAACTGATCTGTAAAAGTCAGTTATTACTAAATGTTTGTTACGCATATGATGGTAGTACCTCAGAGCTAAAAGTACCTTCTTCACTTTATTACTTGAAGAGCTGAGGAACCAAAGCAAATAGCTGTCTCACAAATGCAGAGCTAATTTAGAAGCTAAAACAAAAACAAACAAAAAAAAACCCAAAAAAACACACAGTTCGCTTGATATATTTTCTTTCTTTCTTTCTTTTTTTTTTTTTTGTTTTTGGATTTTCGAGACAGGGTTTCTCTTTTGGTTCCTGTCCTGGAACTAGCTTTTGTAGACCAGGCTGGCCTTGAACTCATAGAGATCTGCCTGCCTCTGCCTGGGATTAAAGGCGTGCACCACCACTGCCCGGTCCGCTTGATATATTTTCAATGGGATTTTTCTTCTTAAGAATTCTATATCTGAACACTAACTAAGGAACATTCATGGGTGTTCATTTTAACTCTCCCATGAGGGACCACAAGGCATGATCATTTATCACAAATATTGCCTCTTTGCTGGGAACTCTATTTCAGAGATTCTTAGTAATGGAAATGGGGTGGATAGGGATGCTAAGAGAACTTGTATCATGGCCCCGAGTAAAATTAAGAAACACAGAGTAACAGGACTAGATGCCAAGGTCAGGTCCTCTGAGTTCAGATGAAGCCACTTAATGTGCATCTTCTGAAAAACAAAAATGCTCGGGGAAGATGTGGTCTGGAAGAGTCATTATGAAGCTGTGGTCCAGAGGCCATCCTGCCCGCACATGGATGTTTTGCAGATAGTGAGAATGCCTTGCCCGGGAAGAATCTGAAATTATGATTTTGATGAACTCGGAACAACCTCTTTAACAGCCAGGAAAGTCACAGGAGCCAAGTACCCATGCCAGGCATGATTTCTGATGGTTTTGGCTTTCCTTGTCATTGTCCGGAACAGTATTCAGCCTGGTTGTGCAATCAGGTAACCAGTGTTATAAATTCAATCATTCAGTCTAGCAGAGATAGACTTTCAAGAGGAAATGCAGCAACACAAGATTGCTATTAACTAGGCACAAATAAACCTCTAAGAATTCTCTTATCAGATGGAAAAAGATGCTGTTTTCTGCCTCAACTTGACAATCTTAAACAAAGACTTAACTTCTCTCTAATTCAAATGAAATCGTCATAAGCAGCAGGCATGGTGAGAGAGGAGACCTCACTATGTGCCCATTCCCCCAACTGCCAACAAGACTCAGAGAGTCCACATTCTCATTGTGGATTATTTTTAAATACCTTGTTGTAGTACACAGATTCGGAACTATATTGCTTGGAATTTTATTTCTCAAAGCATGAAGCTTCCATTACATCAAATCAGAAAATTAAATTACCTCCTTTACATTGAAGATCAAGCAGAAACCCTCCAATGAACTCATAGTGAGATACCATTCCTCTCTTGTGTTTTTAGTATTTTACATATATCTCTAAATTTACTGGTGATAGTGACTTTTTATAGTTTTGGTTGTGAGCTTAGACTTTAATGGCTGAGCCATCTCTCCAGTCCAAAAATAACTTTAATACCTACCTATGTGTGATGTCTGATTTGTAGACTATAAACTCTAAGTTAAGATTCCCTGTCTCATGTATCTCTGTAGTCTTCAGAAGCCATTTAGAGTCTTGGATGTACTCTCTGCTCCATAAATGTGCTGTTTAGTTTCAACTGTACATTCACTAAGCATTCCTCACTTGAAAAAAGTGACTAATGGATTCTTAGTGTGAAATGTCTTTTCTTTCATTTCTGGGATATCTTGTTTTTGAATCATAATCTTTAAAAAATACCATAGCAGATCAGCACTGCGATTTGGGGGTGTTATTTCCTTACAAGAAAGTCCCTAGCCAGTATTGCCAAACATTATTTTTATGGGAATTTGCAGAGGTTTCTTTTGAAGGGCACCCATACATCTCCTTGTGACAGAGGAAAAGAGAAAGCCCAGAGGTGTATCAAGAGGCTAACCCAGAAAGACTATTGTGCTGCCTGTAAAAACTACGTGGTACTCAGGTCCTACATCTGAAAGCCAGTAAGTATCTCTTTAATGGTTTTTCTGAGAAATTAACAGGTTTAATGTTTATGAAATATTTAGCACATTCCTATTAGGCCCATAGACAAGACTGGCTGAATGATTTACAATGTTTAGTCTAAAATAAAAACGCAGAGTCCTTTATGCCATGATTAAAATTTCAAGACAGCAACAGCAGAGCAGTTAGTGAAGCAAGCCTTCCTAAGCAAAGAACCTTCCCTGTGTGCACTGTCCCACACCTAAGAAGCCAGGCCTGGCCTTCCTAGGACAACTTCTGTGCAGTGGGAGGCAAAAGCCTGTGATTAGGACAGAAGCAAAATTCAAGTGCATTAAAGGAGCTGCAAGAAGCCAGAAGGAGCTCCTAATTTTGTAAAAAGTTAAGTTTAACTTAAAAAAAATAAGTAAATAATACTCCTACATTGCTGGTAGGAGCAAGCTGGTACAGCCCCTTTGGATGTGAGTATGGCAATTTCTCAGAAAATTAGGAAACAACCTTCCTCAAGACCCAGAAACACCACTTTTGGGTATATATCCAAAGGATGCTCAATCATGCCACAAGGACATGTGCTCAACTTTGTTCATAGCAGCATTGTTTGCCATAGCCAGAACCTGGAAACAACCTTAATGCCCCTCAACCGAAGAATGGATAAGGAAAATGTGGCACATTTACACAATGGAGTACTACAGAGGAGAAAAAAAAATAACGACATTTTGAAATTTATAGGCAAATGGATGGAACTAGAAAATATCATATTGAGTAAGGCAATTCAGACCCAGAAAGACAATTACCATATGTACTCACTCACAAGTGGTTTTTAAACATAAAGCAAAGAAAACCAGTCTACAAATCACAATCCCAGAGAACCTAGACAACAATGAAGACCCTAAAAAGAGACATACATGGATCTAATCTACATGGGAAGTAAAAAAAGACAAGATCTCCTGTGAACATTGGGACCATGGGGACCAAGGGAGAGGGTTGAAGGGGAGGGGAGGGTAAGGGAGGGCAGCAGAGAAAAATGTATAGCTCAATAAAACCAATCAATCAATAAGTAAATAAAAAGATTTACATTTTATGCGTATGTCTTGCCCTCATGTATGAATGTGCACCACATGAATGCCCAGTTCCCCTATAGGCCAGAAGAGGGCCTCGGATCTCCTGGATCTGGAGTTACAGTGATGCTGAGCACCACCTGAGTGCTGGGAACCAAGCTAAGTCTTCAAGAGACACAAGTACATTTAACTGAGCCAGTTCTCCAGCCCCACTAAACTCAATTTGGGGAGAGCAGTTGTAGACGAAAGCGATCCTAGATTAAAGGAGTAGCGTTGTGAGCAGTCAGGAGTCCTCTGTTAAACTTTAGGACAGGATTAAATTTTAATGAGCTCCAATCATGTCAACATAGGAATGGCAACCACAATTGAGACGTGAAAGGCAGGCAATGGCCCATTATAAAGACTGAACACTACAGTGTACCAACCACCACCGTATCATTTGAAAGCATATTTGTGTGAACAGTCATTTTACAGATTTAGGTGTACCATAGTGATGTTGGCACGTAGTAAAATGGCATGCCATAAATACTTGGAGGATGCCTAGCAGGTCTCTTTCCCTTCTCGCTCCCAGTCCGGTTGTTCGAGTCTCTTGCTAACAGCCTGGCGCTGTCCTTTCTGCTGCTATCCAGAGCCCCAAACAGTCAGTCCCTGCTCCTCGTCCCGCCCCCGCCACTCCACGTGCAGGAGAGTGGGCGGCAGGAGTACTTCCGGGTGACGGAGGTCGGCCCCGGCAAGATGGCGGCCCCCTTGGAGCTCAGCTGCTGGGGAGGTGGCTGGGGGCTCCCTTCGGTGCACAGCGAGTCCCTGGTGGTGATGGTGAGGCCGCCTTGCGGGCCGGGGCGCGGGAGGACTGGACTGGCTCGCTGCGGGCTCCGCTGGGGACGGACGGACGGGCAGGCTTCCCGCAAGCCACCGCTCTGGTCGGCCTGGCCGTGCTTTCTCCGAGCACGCCCGCCCGGCCTCCGCAGACCGACGTCCCTCAGAGCGCGAAGCCTGCGCGTCCCCGGCCGCGGACGGGGGAGGGGCGCGGGCGCGCGGGCAGCCTCAGAGCCGCCCTGCAGATTGCTCAGTCTAAAATGTCTCCTTGCAAACTCTGTTTCAGGCGTACGCCAAGTTTTCGGGCGCACCCTTGAAAGTCAATGTCATAGATAACACCTGGAGAGGTCCAAGAGGTACAGTATGAGCTTCCACACGCCCCTGTCTGCCCTTCTGACCCTGGCATCCCCTCTTGTGTTTAAAGCCGTGGGTATCTAGAGTTTTAGCTTCTTAGAACGACCTTGGCTGTGGGCTGGTTGCTCGCTCTGAGTAGTAACTCAAAATGCAAGCCCAATCTGTGGAAAATAGAAGAAACGAAAGTGTGCCCCAGACCTGCTCCTTGTGAAACTTCAAAGAAAAGGCAAACGTTCTTACAATCTCCCATGTGCAATTGGTCTAGTTTTTAAGTATTGTAATCTTCAAAATAGATCACGGTGTTTGCTTGTGTGTCAACTGTTTTTGATTATAGGCGATGTACCAATTTTGACGACTGAAGACAGCATTGTTTCTCAGCCTGCAAAAATACTAAACTTTTTAAGAAAACAGGTGGGTGGCTCCTTTTGAAGAAGTAGATCGTTTTCTGCATGCTACCCTATTATTATTTTAGACTGGGCTATACTCTAGTGTACCCTGACCAGCCAGGCTGGCATCAAATGCTAGGATTATAGGTGTCACCCATCACATCTGGCATCCTGTATGGCTTTTTGTTTGTTTTTGGTTTGGATTTTGGTTTTTAGAGACAGGGTTTCTCTGCATATCCCTGGCTGTCCTGGAACCCACGGTTGTAGATCAGGCTGACCTTGAACTCACAGAGATCAACCTACCTCTGCCTTCCGAGTGCTGGGACTAAAGGAGTGCTCAGCCACTGGACATGTTTTTGTTTTTGTTTTGGTTGGTTGGTTGGTTTTAGTTGTTCAACAACAGGGTTTCTCTGTGAAGCCTTGCCTATCCTGGAAATCACTCTGTACACCAGGCTGGCCTCGAACTCACAGAGATCCGTCTTTCTCTGTGTCCCGAGTGTTTCGATTAAAGGGATGTGCAGCTACTGGGCTGGCTTTTATTTTTAATTCATCATAAGGTGGTTTTACTTTTTACAATTCATTGGGCAACTGGAAACACTTGGATTTTGACCACTGAGAAACAAAGACTTGCTTCTCAATGCCGTTTTTACTGTGATTTTGGAAGTCATAGTGAAGTTTATGCAATGTCTATTTTTGTGAATGTATTGAAATGGATGTAAGAGGATTCAATTTAGTTATTCACGATTACTCTTGTTGATAACACTATCACTTTAGTCCCATTGTTCCTATACATTTCATGTTAAGTGTGACACCTGAGTTCCGACCGAATCTCAGCTGTTTTATTCGATCATTTATTCTTTTTTTTCTTTTATTTTGGTACTGGAAATTGAATCTGGGGTCTTGTGGCAAGTAGGAAAGCACTCTGCCCCTGAGTGTATTTTTTAGAAAGTGCTTATCTGATAGCCATATACTTTATGAAATCATGTATCTGAAATGTGTGGAAATGTAAATATTTATGTAGTAAATCCATGATGTAAATATAAAGATTCAAATGAACATGAAAGTTATTATTGGTTTTTCAGTACTCTAAGAAAAAGAACGTGTACCATTATAATTTAAGCAAATTCTAAATTGAAGAGTTTCTTTTTTATGGATAAAAACATTAGGGAGAACTATATATTTTTTTTCCTTTCTTGTTAAAAATAACTGCTTCTACGTGTTGACTTTGTATCACACGCCATACTCTGAACAAAGGTCATCAGTAAGTATGGAAACAATAGAAGTCAGCTGACACACGCAAGCAACTCTTGTTCACTTTGTGTATGGTGATACAGTGTTGAGAACCCTCTTTGCGATCGGGAACAGCATTCCTTGGGTTAGTACTCCCCTCATAATGTCAGCTTTGGCATTTGTGAGGGAGAATCAGAGTTCTGCTTCACTTAGCTCCCTTGTCCTTGGGATGCTCTCTGACCTCTGAGAGGTTTTGTTTTGGTTTTGAACAGAAATACAATGCTGACTGTGAACTCTCAGCAAAACAAGGGGCAGACACCCTGGCTTACATCGCCCTCCTGGAAGAGAAGCTTCTCCCTGCCGTGGTGAGTGTCTCTGAATACTGCAGTATTGCAGGGACTAGTAAGAATGCTGTGGTCTGTTAGAAAGAACAAAAAAGGGGAGGAGTCTTCAGGAGTAAATTTCACATATTAGTCTTGATATTATGAGTGAGAATGCTGTGGTCTGTTAGAAAGAACAAAAAAGGGGAGGAGTCTTCAAGAGTAAATTTCTCATATTAGTCTTGATATTATGAGTGAGAATGCTGTGGTCTGTTAGAAAGAACAAAAACGGGGAGGAGTCTTCAGGAGTAAATTTCTCATATTAGTCTTGATATTATGTCAAAACTGGATTCTCTTAGACATTTAGCTTCCCATTGAAGTGAATAGTTTGGTTTGCTTGCTTGGCTAGGGAAATGTTCTACCACTGAATTCCATTCCAACACAATCATACTGTTTTTGAAATAAATGCTACCATTGGAAGATGAAACTTTGATGCATGTATAGAATTGGCTATACTGTAGTTCTTTCATTTGGTGGATATTTACAGAGCCCTCGGTATGCACTAGGCTCTATTCTGGCTACTGAGATACAGCAGTCAACAAAATTTATATGTTTAAAATAATCTCATTTCACCTTGAGCCATTGTATCTGAAAAACTTAACCGGAGGTACTTTCTTCAAGGACACTTCTGAAGAAGCTGTCAGACTGACGAGTGATGCTCATTTTAGCAGGAGAACATCCCTGTAATTGTTTTGCCTTCCTTTGGCAGCTTCATACTTTCTGGGTTGAGAATGACAATTACTTTACTGTGACAAAGCCATGGTTTGCCTCCCGTATCCCTTTCCCTCTGAGTTTAATCCTGCCCGGAAGGATGTCTAGAGGCGCACTGAATAGGATCCTCTTGACACGGGGAGAGCCGCCCCTCTATCACATCCAGGAAGTGGAAGCTCAGGTATGGGAGTCTCCTAGCAAGCCCTCCAGGGAAGGGAGGAGAGAGGGGACTGGTCCTTACCTAGAGATGCTACTTCCAAAGTCTCCTTCATCCTTCTTAGATATACAGAGATGCCAAGGAGTGCCTCAACCTCCTGTCAAACAGATTGGGAACATCTCAGTTCTTCTTTGGTGACACGTGAGTAAATTCCCTTAAGGTCACTTTGACGTAGCCACCTCTTTGATGTTTCCTGCAGTATATTTGAAAAGTTTGCTTGATTTATGGCCTTCTCTGTTCCGTTACTACAAACACATCATGAAACTGCCTTGGTGGGAAACACTATTTTGAGTGACCTAAATCTGGATCCCCAGGCATGGCCACTCATGTTTGACTCTAGAATAAGCTAGCTCTTATCCCTTAAGAAGAAGAAGAAAGTCCCTATGATTCTGCTACAGAAGATGAGAGCCCCACCCCTGTAGCCCCTGGGCTTCCTCCTCCAACGGGCCATCTAGGGCATGCCCCTGTGGCCCACTGCACTGATCATGAAGCCATGCTCTTCTTGTTGAACACCCTGAAGGAAGTCACTCAGCAGTTCCTCAGTCCCCAGGCTGGTGGTTGGTTTTGAGTTTGTGTGGACCCATATATACATAAATGTAATTTATCATTTGAATCATGTAAACAAGAGTTATTTCGATATGTTGCGTGTGTATATTCAGTGAAATGTGAGTTAAAGCCAGTTTTCCCACCCCTCAGAAGATGGGTTTTTCACTTCAGAAGGGCGCCTGGGGGTAGAGCTGATTGGCAGAGCTCTCAAACAGCACACATAAGGCCCCGGGTTCAGTCTTTAGCCGGGATTTACTGGGCTTTTATAGGAAAATTTTTCTGTTGGCATTAATCTTCCATTAGCTTAATGTGCTGCATATGGCTGTGATAGCATCGAGCATGCCTCCACCCGGCTTCCAGTCCATAACATTTGTCGTTTACAACCTCAATTTCCTCTGAATAAAATAAATGGCTAGAATATTTTTAAAACTACTTAGAAGGTAAAATGCTGGCTGCCTTCCTTTTGGAATCAAAAATGGGAGCAAACCATTCAAAACATGATGTTGCCTATTAGACCTGACAGACAGCTTGAAGAGCATTTTAAAATGTAGTCCAAGTCTGTCTGCCCTTAAGCGCTCCTGACAGAGTCTTCCGTCTCCAGGCCTTCCACCTTGGACGCCTATGTGTTTGGTTTCCTGGCACCTCTTTATAAAGTGCGTTTTCCCAAGGTTCACTTACAAGAGCATCTGAAACAGCTCTCCAATCTGTGCCGCCTGTGTGATGACATCCTGGGCAGCTACTTCAGACATGGGCCCACGGGTAAGTCGGCTTTAGCTAGGGTGTACTCAGATCGGGCACTTTAATGTCTCCTGGCAGCGCGCAAGATCTTGTTGCACATTGTCTTAGACTCTGGTTCATAGCTTCCAGACCTGGTGGTTTGCCCGCTACATCTGCTGCCATGTTCTTACGTACATGGAGAAAGAGCCATGTGACCCCGCCCCCCATCCTCTGGACTTCACACATTCTGTGTATCTTCTTTATAAGTATTGCCCCCCCCCCCCAAGTGGGTCACTTTCTTCTCAAGGATTAAAGTGCGTGTGTTGAGTCCCTGCTGAAGGTAGTGTTTACCCCATCAAATGGGCGGTCACTTTACATAATTCTCACCTGCTGCTTCCAGCACTCTCCCCTTGAACAGAAATCAGCAGCAGATTGACTTTGGTGAGGTCACCCCCATGGTTCTACTACTTGAAAATGATTGCAGCAAACTGGAGATAGAGTAAGTAGAGGGCTCTTGGCACTTAGGATGGCATTCTCTCTGACTGGGGGCCTGTGCTTAGGGGACTGGGCACTGAGTGTGGATATGTAGAGGTGGCTGCAGTGTTTATCCTTCTGAGAAGCAGAAGTTGTGAGATAGCTGGCTTCAGCAGACTGGCTGTTTTTTATTTTACTTATTTATTTTTTATGGAGGATTCTCTGCTTTACATCTAGAGAAGTCTAGGAAATGGGAAGTTAGGGAGCTAAGTGGCATCCGACCTTGTCGCTCTGGGGCAGTGGCTAGCCAGCCTGGCTCCTCAGCTCTTCCATAGTTCCCAAATTAAAATGTCTGGGGATCAATCCCAGAAAGCTCTGCTTTTAAAAATTCCTTTAAATATCTTGGATGCCTGGTAAGTAGGTGTTAGGGAGTCGCTACCTTAGCAAGGCGTCTATAGTGTTACAGCCAGTGACCTGCGTGTAGTGACTAGGGAGGGGGCAGCACCATCTGGAGAGCACCGCGCCTTACTAACCCCTGTAGCCGCCTGCATGTCGTGTGGCTCAGTGTCTCCCAAGAGCACAGTTCAGTCTTTCCCTTTCCGCTTCCTACGGAGCACTGCTGTCCCTCCTAACTTTGCCCTGAACCCAAATGTTTTTCTCGTTTTCAGTTTTCTTTTGGGGGGAGGGGGAGCAATTAGATTGATGGGTAAACCGAAATTTTCTTTTTTTCAATCTTCAACAGCTTGAAAGTCTTTCAAAGTTTGTTTTCTCTCCCTGATCTCTCTCCTGACGTCTCAGGCATCTCTCCAGCTGGACAAGAAATGGTAGACGTGAACCTGCGGAAACTCACACAACTTGTAAATAAGGAATCCAACTTAATTGAAAAGGTCGCGTTCCTTCATCATTGCTTTCCTGTCTGTTTTCTGGGTTGTGTGTTCACTTGACACTCTTAGTTTTAAAGAGTTTACTTTTCAAGAGGCTGTTTATATATACTTGGAGTGGAGATTTGTTTAATGTGGTGTTTTGAAGCCAGCAGTGGCCTGATTGTGCTGAGGGAAATTTGAGTAATTGTGTTGGGCCTGCCTTTTACTATATAGTTTGCACTTACCAAGTTGGGTGACATAAAGATTACCTTTAAAGACGGAAAATCAGAAGCAAGCCTTGCTTGTTGTCCTTGCTGTCCTGAAGTCACTTTCTGTAGGGTCTAAGCATCCATGTTTTCTCTTCCATATCAGTAATGTCTTTTTCTTCTTCCCTCATGCCCCTTCTTTCTTATTGTTCTTCTTGGTCCTGAATGTGGTCTACAGTATCTTCATCATTGAGTCCTTTATCACTTTGGAGATTCTCAATGTACGACAGACCATGAGGGAGTGAGTGGGTAGAGGAGAGAGCCAACAATGGCGGATTTGAGGAGGACTCTGATTGGAGGGATGTGAAAGGGCCGTGCAGATTCCCCCCTAGTGTGTGATAGACTTGATGCTTTCACATGCACTGAGGTAGAAGAGCTTCATAGGAGTCAGCAAGCCTTCTAGAGGCTCCGTGTGCGGATGCTCTTGTCCCATTTCATGGATGTGATGGTGCGAGTGTCATCACCTGCCCGAAGTCTTCTGGCTGAAGAAGGTAGAGAGGAGACTTAACACTGTAGACATGGGGACACAGGCGCCAGCAGTGTTGCGGTTCATTGTTCTTTTCCGTAGGCAGCTGCTCAGCTTCTAAGTACGATTGTGTGTCAGTCACGGAGAGGATGTGTCAGCTTGTCACGGTTCTTCTCTGGGATGGCCTTCTGTTGCCAGTGTCTCATGTGGTGTTGGTTTTGGAGAAGCTGTAGCGTTCATTGCTGTTCAAGTGTTTGTGGTGTGAGTTAAAGCCTGGGCAGGCTCTATTTGCTCAGTCTAATACACGTCCTATGAAGATGTGTGCAAAGTGCTAAGTGTGTTTACAGGAGCTCATTCGTCTATAGGAAGGCTGTTTAACATAGTTTCCTTTCCCTTTTTCCTTTTCTTTTTTTGTTTTTTCTAGATAAGGTTTCTTTGTGTGACAGTACTGTTATATAGTCCTGGCTGTCCTGGAACTCTCTTTGTAGACCAGGCTGACCTCAAACTCACAAAGATCTGCCTGCCTCTGCCTCCTGAGTTCTGGGATAAAAGTTGTGCATCACTACCACACAGCTTCTTTCCATTTTCTGTATGTGATCCATGACAGATATGGCAGGGGAGTTATGAAATACCCACACAGACAGAAGGTAAAACAGGAGCCCGTTCACTATTTTATACATATCCACCTTGGGTCTTCATCAGCTTATAAAAGTCTTGTAAGACAAGCAGGCGTTCATATGTGCTCTTGTGTAGGAAGTGTGTGATGGCTGGTGAAACACAATAGGACAACTGGTCTGCTTAGCCACCACTGATCACAATTTATAGCAAATATCTAGAGCGTAAGAGAAAGACTAATATTTGAGATACAGTTCTTGCTGGAAAGTAAGTGCTGCTCACCACAGTTGTTCCCTGGTCACAAGTTTTCCCTATTTGAAAATTAATAATTAGCCTTTTATTTTCTGTCTTCTGCAAACCTTACACATGCACACACGCTTTGCCAAAATATTTCTTCCTTGCTTTGAAACCATACTGAGAAGTGGGGAGTTTAAAATATTCTGCATTTATGCAGAGCTCTGAGAACAACTTGTCTATTGGGGGAGTGATAGGATATTCTTTTCTGTTGGTTTTGTGGTTTAATGGCACTGCTTTCAAGTTGTTGAAAAAGTGAAGTTGATAGAGAACTCAGCATCAGTACTCTGGGGTGAAGATGGAGCTTGGAGACTGGCTAAATTCTGAGTAATCTCACCTGGTATTCCAGGGTGCTAATGTGTGTCTCGGACATCTTGGCATTTTCCTAATGTACTTCATGTAATGGTGTCTCTAAGGTTGGCTCAGAAGTGATCCGTGTTTGAAAGACCTCTGGACTAGATCTAAGGCCTTGTCCTTGCCACCGTTTCCCCAGCATCCTTTGGTCTACATACTCTCAACTGGGGAGGAGGGAGCTGTGTCGCGTGGCATTCTGGCCACTTTCAATTTGGAAAAGAGGAGTAGTTTTTAAAAATTGTGTTAGAATAAGAAGACATGGGTCGTGATACTGGCATTAGAACCTGGAAAGGGGACTTCTGTTTTCTAAGCCTCATTTTGTCATCTCATGTAGGGTGGGACTGTGCCTGCTCTTTAGTGTGAGGGAAAGATTAGCAGAGCACATTTAGAGGTAAGTGTTTACCGATACCTGCAGAGAGTATCTTAAGTGAGTCCCGATCAAGTTCAGCAGCATGTTCTTTTTTGTGGAACTTATTATAATTTTGTGAGGGGCTGAGTATGAGCCACGCTGCTTCTTGTGGATGCTGAGTCGGCTGGTATTTGAGATGACAGTCCTCATTTGTGAGCAGCTGTCAGAGAAATGTGTCTCCGTCAGTCCTGCCACCATGCAGTTCTCTTCTCTGTAGTCTAGATGGGGAGGGCGCAGTCCACCAAAGAGGAGCCTCAGCCGTAGTCAGATGTGTCTTTGTGCTTCCTACAGATGGATGACAATCTCCGCCAGAGCCCTCAGCTTCTTCCTCGGAAGCTGCCAATGCTCAAGCTGACTCCAGCAGAAGACGAGAATAATTCCTTACAGCGGCTGTCACCCTGACAGTCACAGCCTGTTGCAGCCAAAGTCTTAGGATTGTTTGCAGTAGTCGCTTATACTGAGTGCACGGAGACAAAAAGAAAACTGCCGTAATAGGTCTAAGGAAGACTGTGAAACAGAAGGAGCTGAACGTGACTTTCTTTTTAAACTAGGGAAGCTTTTATTTCATCTTGGCAGTGCATTTTGAATGCTAAGCAAGCGGGTGGGTGGGCGGGGCAAATACGTGGTACTGTATATAAAAAGCTGCCTTAATCATGGCAGATCTTTGCCTTTGGTTCAGGTGTTGCTGATGAAAAGCTGCAGTTCTGTTCTGAATGTGCATTTTTAATTTCTTTAAGTTAATTTATTAGCTTACTTTTCTTAGTCCTGTCTCAATAATTATGTGGCTCTTGGGCTGAGATCTTAATCTTCTTTTTAGAAGTCTGATGCCTATTTCAGGAACTAGGAAAAATAGAAATTATTTCAATAGAAAAGCCTGAATTTAACTTTAAAAAGCAGCAAGGAATGTGCTTCTTAATTATTCTCTTGTAGGTCTGATCCTCTTTGTGTTTAGTGCCACACATGCAGCTGTTGAGGCGGTTATGTAATGCGCATCTGATAGCACGTCAGTATGAATAAGTACTTCTGGTATGTCTGCTCTAAGCTAGCAGAGGCCAGTGTGGCAGCTTAAGCCTGTGTATTTTAGCACACCATTGCCTACTGTCTCAGTCTTGTATTAATTCCAGAGTTGGACGTCTAGCTTATCTTACTGTATTAGCTGAAATCCCTAGTGAAGTGTGCTCAGCGAACTCTTAAGCACCCTTGGGATGAGGGATGAGCTACTATGAGGGTCCTGGAGGTACCTCCCATGTGTCTGGGCTGAGTGCTCCACACTTGACTCAAAACAGTTTGTTTCATAGTAAGTGTATCTTGTGCCCACACACTTTCTGACAAACTATTATTTCCTGTATATTTTTAAGTACATTTTCAGGATCCAAAGGAATAAGTCAAAAATAGCAAATTTCTAAGGCAATTTATATTTATTGGTTGCTGAATGAACGGTTCAACATTTGCTGAGTGTTGTAACTTTACATATAATAGGAACATGCTTATTTTAGTGGCTGAGGTGCTTCTGTTGTTATAATACCACTTCTGAGATTTTTAAAATACAAGACTGTGTTTTGGGTTAGTGTCTTACAGGATTACCATGGTGCTCGGCGAAAGCTTACCGGAGTCTGTAGAAACCAGGCTGCGTTGTCTGGAGACTCAGCTGCTGCGAACAGAGCGTGGCTGTGTCTGGCTTGCAGCACCCTGGTTTGCTCTGTGTCTTGATAGATGAAAGCTTTACATGAGACAAGGTAGTCTACAGTCTTGTTCATCTCTTTGGGCGCATTTAGGTCAGGTAGGCAGTGAGTTTCACAATACTTCTGTAAAAAAGGACTGTGTATGTGAGTGTGTACACGTGAGTATGTGTGTGCTGTGTATGTTGCTCATCTTGCTCATCTTAGGCAAATCACAACCATATGAAATCTGAGTGTTTTGTTTTGAAAGTCATGATCAAGAGGCTCCGTTGTCTCTCAGACTGATCTGTATTGGTTAGCACATTAATCAGATTCTGTTTATGCTTTAATCAGGGCTAGTCATTTTCAATTGTGATTTAATAGTAAACCTTCCAAGAAGTATTTGAAGTAGTTTACAGTAATAAAACACATGTAGAAATAGGACAGTTATTTTTGAAAAAAATAACAATTTCTAAGAGAAAGAACCATATCAACACTACTAGGCTGTAAAATCAAGTGTGAAATCTAACTCTGTGGGTAAAGCTCGAAGATAATACTGAGTGAAATTCTAATAAGGCTGCTGATGTCTAGATTAAACGTGTAAAACAGCAGTTCCCAACCTGTGGATCGATCAGCCCTTTCACGGGGTCGCATATCAGATATGCTGCTTATCAATATTTATGATTCACATAGTAGCAAAATTCATTAGGAAGTAGCAGCAAATATAATTTTATGGTTGGAGTCACCACAACATGAGGACTGTATTGAAGGGTCTCAGCATCAGGAGGCTGAGAACCGGTGTGGAAGAACGCAGCAGGTCATGTTCAGAAGACACTAGAGGTCAGCCAAGAAGTGTACGGTAATATTTTGTGCAGGAAACCCTTACTGAAAGGAGCTCATTGTAGAATCACAGGCATTTGCCCTTCTCAGTGGTGAGGATGACTGCTCGGAACTGCCTTTAGCCGTACATTCTGTAGCCCGTGTGCTTGAAGACCACATTTCTGAGATGCAGATCAAGGGTTGGGAAAGTAGGAACCTAAGTGCTGGCTCTCTTAGTTCAGCTTTGTTTGTCTAACAAGTGAGATGAGAGAAAACTAACTGAGCACAGGATGCTTTAGAGACTAGCACACAGAGAAGCTCTCAGTGGGAAGTGACTTCTTAGACTGGACAAAGGGCCCATGGTCACCCTGTCAGGATGTTTGGCGTGAAGCTTGAGTTTGCTGGGAAGAGTGATCCATGGCCTTGACCAAATACTGTGAGCCATTGTCCTTTGGAGGTGATGGTAGAGGACAGTATGAAAACAGGGACTCTGCTCATTTTTATTTTTGTTGATAGTACAGAGCTAGAAAAATTGGTTTGCTAATTCTCACAAGGGAATAATCCTGAATGAGCACTGTGTCACAGTGATGACCTAATGCTAAGGGCATTGCAGACAAGGAGGATGGGATTCTCAGAACTTTGACCTCATGAAAGGTTCACATTGCTAGCGAGTTTCAGTTGAAGTATGTGAACTGTTTCTGGGTACTAGAAGACCCCTGGTGGAGTTTTTTTTAAAGCAACCATTTTTATTTGTAATCTCTAATAGTTTACAATTGATAAATAGAGTAACACCAAGGAACAGAGACGTTTATGTTAGAGCTAAGTTGAAAATCTTCAAAGTCTCAAAATGGGGGAACTAACATTGACAGAAGCAGAAGCTGGTAATGGAATATTTTAAGAAAACCACTTTGTTCAGGTAGCTTCATGTAATAAAGTGGGATTTGAATTGAATAGTGTTTCTTAGAGCCTCTTTCAAGCATATACACCTATCGAGCTTGTTAAAAATAATTTTTGATGGAATGGGTTAATTTTTTGACAGCCACAACCGTAACCACTCAGGAAATAAAGGTTGGAGTATGGGCGGGACTGACAAGGTGGCTCAATAGTTAAACGAACTTGCTACTCTTGAGTTCAGTGTCCAGGAACTATGGCAGATGGTTACCCCCTAAACTGTAGCCCCAGGGGATCTGGTGCCCCCTTCTGAAATCCATGAGCTCCTGCACTCACAGTGTGCATTTACCCCCATACACATAATTAACACTAAAATAAATTAAATAAACATAGGAAGCTGAATGATAGATAGGGCCATGGGTAGCTCACTGCTATTTTTGTAATGCCTTAAGAGTCTATAATTACTTCAAAATAAAAGGGTTATTCAAAGCCAACTTAATAGAGTTAAGTTTGTCACTATCTACCATGTCTTAAATTTTTAACACTGCAGACCTCGTATTTATTTAGTTCCAAATGAGAACTACATTTTATCTTACTAAAATTTTTACTTTGTTCTTGAGTCTAAGAAAAAGCAGCTGGGGTTTCTAACAAATCATTCTCTGAAGTTCTCCTATGCTATACCAAGAAAGTTTTCTAAAAACTTTGCACCAAAAACTTATTTCCATAAAATATCAAAATGCTTACGATTTTATGTTTCTAGTCTGTGTATTTTTCCCTGTGACAGCTGGGTTCATATTCAAGGACAAAATATTTTGAGACCTTTTTCTGTCTTTGTGTGGTCATTCTTTTTTACCTTGTATTTTTTTTCTCTCTGTATGCACTGTGTGGCACTGTGCTCACTGACGCTGCCCTTCCGTTGTGGAAGTGTGACGTAGCTGTGCACCTCTGTTGTGGAAGTGTGACGTAGCTGTGCACTTCCGTTGTGGAAGTGTGACGTAGCTGTGCACCTCTGTTGTGGAAGTGTGACGTAGCTGTGCACTTCCGTTGTGGAAGTGTGACGTAGCTGTGCACCTCTGTTGTGGACGTGTGACGTAGCTGTGCACTTCCGTTGTGGAAGTGTGACATAGCTGTGCACTTCTGTTGTGGAAGTGTGACGTAGCTGTGCACCTCTGTTGTGGAAGTGTGACGTAGCTGTGCACCTCTGTTGTGGAAGTGTGACGTAGCTGTGCACTTCCGTTGTGGAAGTGTGACGTAGCTGTGCACTTCCGTTGTGGAAGTGTGACATAGCTGTGCACTTCTGTTGTGGAAGTGTGACGTAGCTGTGCACTTCTGTTGTGGAAGTGTGACGTAGCTGTGCACCTCTGTTGTGGAAGTGTGACGTAGCTGTGCACTTCTGTTGTGGAAGTGTGACGTAGCTGTGCACTTCTGTTGTGGAAGTGTGACGTAGCTGTGCACTTGTGTTGTGGAAGTGTGACATAGCTGTGCACCTCTGTTGTGGACGTGTGACGTAGCTGTGCACTTTGTTGTACAGCCAAGGGATGTAATTGATTGTATCTTGTGGTTATTATTAGAGTTAATCCTGAGCAAAGCCACAGCGTACATTTGGGTTGTGATGATTGCTCTTTGTGTATGTTCTTGGTGGTTTAAAAAAAGAAAAAATAAGTTGTATGTTTATTCCCCCCTCTTTTGCTGTTGTTCAGTTCTGCGAAGTTTACATTTATTTCTTAGTGTTTACATATTTCGTAGATTTTAAAGAAATCCGAGGTTATGTGAGACCATAGCTCAGTGGTTTCACCCTGAAAGGTTTTATTGAAGTGTCTTTGGAGTTCAGGATGCTGGTTTGCATAATGAGGTAAGTTGGGAGAGCTTTGGTTTTAGTTTTTAAGTGTTTGTAAAACAGTTTAGTGTAGAAGTTCCTGTTGGGTGCTGTAGTCTCTAAGAGCCCAGGCTGCTTGTTGTGCGGTCAGGACTTGTCGTGACAGAAGCAAATGCGGACTCTGGAAATTAAAAAGACGTAAAAAATGTTTTTCCCCCAGAAAAATATTCCATGGATTACTTAAAAGAATTGGCGTTCTTGACCAATGATATAATAAAAGGGAAACTTGAGTTGATTGCTCGTGACTAGTGAGGGGTATGTTGTGAAGACTTACTCAAACAGAATAAAGTAGCTTCTTTAAAAGGAAAAAAGATGGACTGTTTTGTGCCCTCATTATTATTAATT